AGCAAACCCTCCTCAGCCCTGGTGACATACAGCCCCCTGGGAGGGGAGCAAAGGAGAAGGCAATCCCATCTAGATTGTATTGCCTTTCCATGAATTATTCAAGGAGCCTCTTTTGGCATTCAGGTTGAGTCCCCAGTTGCCTGCATGCTCTGGACCTTTAGTCCACAGAGTGCCCTGCTGCCATGACCCTACATTTAAGGGAATAACTGAGTGATGGATGGCTTCCCTGATTGGGAGGCCAAGCAATCTCCAGCACATTGATTTCTGCCAACATAAGGCTCTTCATCAACCAAGATTTTGATCCCTCTATTCCCCAATCCTCCCTCATTTGTCTTGCCTTCTACTCAACTCTGTTGCTCCTACGGTTTAGGCATATAGTGTTGTGGTGTTGCTCCATTAGTGGGCACAGCAGATAAACCTCTTTGTGATCACCACTGAGCCAACTATGCTCTTCCCCAGTTTTCCAAGCTCCATGACTGCAGTTTGGAAATTGGAACTTAGGGGAAATGCATTCCCCATTTCATCTGTCAAAATAAACCCCTTTGCGCATGCACAGCCACACATTTCCATTTGATTGCCTTTTAAAAGAATGGATCAAATATGCTCTATTGTCAGCTCTTGCCATTTTTGTATCCAATAATTCATTTCCATCCAGGAACATTATACTTGCAAATCAGAGTGACACAAATGGGGTTTTTTTTGTGATTGGATCCAAAATAAGCCTTCTATACAAGGAAGCTCACAAAAGTATATCTCATATGAGACCATGGTGCAAAGAAGCAATATTTACAGCTCTTTTACTTCTGTTCATTTTTTAAAAAAATTCAAGCTACACATTTTTCTGAAGTGGTTTAGAAATGAATGGGCTATTCCAGTTCCCTCCTTCTCTCCATCCAAATAAACAAGTTTTTATAGGAAAATTATAGCATTATGGAGCTGAAGTGTCCCTCATTCTGCATGCTGTTCTACACAGAATGTGTTTGGAGTGCATTGTAATTTGGGGGATTGTAACTCCGAAAATCCTCCAGGCAGTACCACAATGTACCCGGTGCCATGACCCCAAAAGTAATATGAGCAACTTTCTTCCAAGGACAAGACTTTCACAACCTCCTTTGAAAACTTATTCCGTTAAGGAAGTAGTTCAGCATTTATGAAAAATTCCCTTCCTTCTCAAATTAAAACTATAACTTCAGGGCAATGAAAAACCTTGAGTGTGTACAGTATATACAAACTAAGACATGTGTTATGCTTGATCCAATTCACAGAGAAGAATGTCATGGCCCATGGCTAAAGAGCTGGGAGAGTCTGGGTCCCATCCAGTGTGCCGTCTGGTCAAAGGTCAAGATGGGGTTGTGTGTGAATTCAAAGGATATAAGGAAGCCCACCAGCCAGATCCAAAAAATGTGTGTGTGAGAGAGAGGAAAGGAAGCACCATTTCAGGGCAGGAAATATAATAGAAAACTAATCTGGAATCAGAACCAAAAGTAGCTCACTTACAATATAATTCTGCTATTTCTGCCAGTTCAAGTGTCGCACAGAGTGGTTAATAAACATAAAGAGTTCTCCGCAAATCTTTGTATTATCACAGCAGGACTTGAGATATACCATTAGCAACACCCCTAGGTTGCTGTGTTGATCTCTGTCAGGTTTCATTTCTTAGGAGGAGCAGGTCTTTTGTAAAGCTGCCCCCAAATACAGGTACACTTCATTTGATGGAGTAGATGCATTCCTGGGTGTTGCTTGTTCAAAAGAAAATTTGGTAGTAGAAATTGCATGGAAAAAATTTCATACGGCACCAGAAAAAAGAGCAGTTCAACATGCTTCGGCAATTTTTCAAATCCAAAATTCAAACTGCACACATGTGTAGTGCAATAGTTAGTTCAGGTAAGCCTTGCATAGGTAAAGGTAAATGTTTCCCCTGATATTAAGTCTAGTCATGTCCGACTCTGAAGAGTGGTGCTCATCTCTATTCCTAAGCCAAAGAGCTGGCATTGTCCATAAACACCTCCAAGGTCATGTGGCCAGCATGACTGCATGAAGTCCCTTTACCTTCCCACAGAAGTAGTACCTATTGATCTACTCACATTTGCATGTTTTGAACTGCTAGGTTGGCAGAAGCTGGGCCTAACAATGGGAGCTCATCCCTCTCCCTGAATTTGAACTGCCAAACTTTTGGTCAGCAAGTTCAGCAGCTCAGCTGTTTAAGCCGCTGCACCACCAGGGGGCCTTGCATAAGTAAACAAAATTTCTGAATCTTCAAAACATCATCTGAAGCTTTTCCCTAAAATGTATCAAGAGATGATTTTCTGGGCTTATTTGTCTTCTCTTCTCCACTGCCCCTTTTTCTTTTGTTTTATGTTCAATAAGGGAGTCTGGAGGCAGCTGCTTTTTAAATTTGCCTGTTGTAGGTGAGCACATGAGGAGTGGCCAGAATAAAAGCCTACTGTTCCCTGGCTCAAACTGTATTATGCTGGTTTACTGAGGACACACTGCTATTACTAAAGGTCTGCCTTCCTTTATGATCCTCCTAATGCCAATGCTGCTCAAATCTTACTAGCTAAACATAGGAAAAAAGGGCCTGGGTCTGCATACAAAGCCTTTGTGAAACAGTTCATTCACTGCAGGAGCCTTTGTAAATCAAGGTATGCCTATACTGTAAATTGAAACAGATTGTAAATAACAATCCATCATTGTTGTGAGAATCTGTTTCACCTCCCGTTTCTAGAGATTAATTTTAAACACAGAAGAAATGGAAAAGAGACAGATGATGTTCCAAATCTCGCTTATCCAAAGTTCCCAGAATCCCTCACCATTAACTATGCTGACTTTTCCATCTCTGCTTGTATCTTGGAGGGTGATAGCAGGACAAGCTCTCAATTCATTGAGTTGGAGGGTTAGAAGTTAGAAGCTTGTTGTTGTTGTTGGTCTTCAGGCCATTTATGATTGATGGTGACCCTAAGCCAAACTTAGCAGAGGTTTCATGGCAAGATTTGTTTAGAGTGCCTTTGTCTTCCTCTGAGGTTGGGAGAGTGTGTCTCATGTTGTTGTTGTTCATTCGTTCAGTCATTTCCGACTCTTCATGACGTCATGGACCAGCCCTTGGTTGGCCCCTCTTCCTTTTGCCTTCCATTTCCCCCTGTGTCTCATAGCGAATTGCAAAGGCCTTGACCTTTCACCAGAGATCAATTTAGGCTCTTTGCAGTTTCATTACATAGCATGGACTTTCCTCTGGTTGTAGAGGTGCGGCTTGATCCTTTTCTATGAGGATGAGGTCTGCCTGTTGCTGCCTAACACAGAGAAGCACTACGTCTCCATCTGTGCCTTGGAGCTGATGTGCTCCAAGTAAACAGTTTAATTGGCTCCCCCTACTGGTACCTGCTTCTCACAAATTGTTAATGAAAATCTAAAATCCATGCAATGAGAGTGTAAAGTCCAGTTTGGTAATGCCTGTAGTAAGTCCCACCAACATGCACAGAAGACTGAACAAATTTTACATTGAAGAAATCATCATCAGGTTAGATGGTATAAATTGCAGGGATTGGAGAAGAAAGACAGACTTTTTTTAAAAGGCCAGCGATTATAGCCATGCAGCCTGTGAGCCAATAGCAAAATGGAGCTTGCATAGTTTGTCATTCTATTGCCTGATGTCTAGGCATCTGATTCATACATTTTTCTAAATAATTGTTGTACTTTTTCTCCCACTGTTTCAGACTTCACAATTTTTTAAACAGTTTAGGGGTTAGGGGCACAGGGCCCCCATGATAGGGAAAATTGTAAATAAAAAAAGCCCTCTCTAGAAATCTTTAGATCCTCCAGTGTGATTCTGTGGTCAAATTCCAGCAGAAGTTGACCATTTTGTCACATGGGAGGACCAAGAGACTCCTAGACAGAACATTTTTAATAAAATCTGCAAATAATTTGTTTTGTAAAAGTCAAACCGCCAAATCTGGAGTAATGTTTAAGGTACTACAATATATTGTTTATTACTTCAGGTTTTTTTTCTGCATTGAGGCTCATTAGCCACACTAAACTGTGTACATCACAGGATCCCTTTGACATTTCTGAATTATTTATGTACAAAATGCAGTGTTTCAAACAATTTCATATTTTTTTAAATGGTGTGAGTAACAAAAGGTAAACAGGAAAGGAAACTGAGACAATTATTTATTTATTTATCTACAGTATTTGTTTACTGCCCTTCTCAACCCTGAAGGTGACTCAGGGCAGTTCACAGTGTTCACAGACAATAGCATAATTATTATAATAATGTAATTTGTAGGAATCTAGATTTAGAGAATATGATACAGAACTGTGCAGAACATTGATTCTGTATCAGGGATGTGAAATAATTCTTCATCACAATGTTGCAATCTTTCTCCATCTCTGTCCTACCTTTTTTTTTAAACATATAAGCTTATGAGAGTTTGTCTTCCTTCCCACATCCAAATCTCTAGACATTTTCCATTTATTTGCACATTTTTTATTAACCTCGTAACTTTTTGCATTGACTATAGTTCGTGTGCATTTATCAACTGTATACATTTTGGCTATTTTAAATCTAATTATCATTAACATTATCATTATTATTATTATTTGTTATTCGCCTCTCCACATAGATTGAGGCAGGTCACAATGCAGTTAAAACACATCACCATAAAATACATACATTAAAACACATCACCACAGAATACATATATTAAAATAAACAGTGCAATGATTAAATGCAATGCAAATATGAATATTAAAATACAAATAGAACGTAAATTTAAAATCCCCTATTTAAAATTGACTAGGTAGGCCAATATGCTGCCTACGTATTTCATTTTTTCTCAAAATAATCTGCAAACATTGGATATATACACATTTCCAGGGCAAGGTGCACTTTATCCTGCAGCAAGTCTTGGCAAGTGAAATGGATAATGTCAATGGGAATCCACAAAAGAGATATTTTTCCATCCCAAATTTGCCATAACTTTGTCTCCTTGCTGCTCCCGTTGCAGATTCCATGAAGCTACAAGCCTTCCGTTGTGATGGCCATTCCTGCAACCCTGCTGTGGGGAATCTAGCCACAGGCAGGACACCAGCCACACTCACCACTTGTGGACAAAATAGCACAGAATTGTACTGCTTTTACCCTGACCGCCACCTTCTCCATCCAGCCTCCCAAGGTTGTGGACAGCCCAGGTGCACAAAGTGCAATGCCAACCAGCCTGATAATGCACATCTCCCTTATGCCATGACGGATGACTTCTTTGTGAACCCAACATCTTGGTGGCAGTCTGCACAAGGCGTCCATCGGGAGGAAATCAGGCTAGACTTGGAAACCGAGTTCTACTTGACTCATGTCATTGTTGTGTTCAAGTCTCCTCGGCCAGCAGCCATGGTGTTGGAGAGGTCCCAGGACTATGGACAGACATGGAGGCCTTACAAATACTTTTCTGTCAACTGCACTGCCACCTTTGGGCTCCCGGATGACACCACTGAAGAGGGAGCTCTGTGTACATCTAGGTATTCAGATGTGGTGCCTTGTACCAGAGGTGAGGTAAGTAAGTAGACAATAAATAAAGTATGGCTAACATTTCAATATTCACCTGTAAAGTATACTTAATAATAAAGTGAAATGCTGTTTCAGAAGAACTGGCCATGGGCAATATTTACCCTTGTAATGGCTATATGCCCTACGTTTTGGAGGGTGGTCTTAGAGTTGAAGGCCTGTCGGAGGACTCTTCTTTTCTTGAAATCCCCCCTCCCCATTTGAAAGGCTATTTAATGCAACTCAGTTTTAAATATAAGACCCTGGGAGAAAGAATGAAACCTTGCATTTGCCTATCAAAGTCTTCACGGGATTTGTTCCTGGACTTGCCATGGAAATTTGAATAACAGCAAACCCTATTGAAATGAATGACTTCTGGTATTAGCATACCATAGAATCACACAGGAGAAGCTAGAACACCACTAGAATTTATGGGTTCTTCAGGATGGCTCTATGACCAGTTTCCAATGGAAACACACCTCAGAATAACATAGGAGGACCTAGGAAGGACCTAGATACAGGAGCAATCCTGTATTGTATTTTGTCATTGTTTCTAAATTTGTATTTAGAGTGATACGTGGAAACTTTGTTTAAACATTTGCCATTTCTGTTAGTGATGCTCATGGGGCCACCATTGTCATGTGTAGACATCAATAAATGAGCTTTATTATTGCTATGACATATATGAACAAGAATATGCATGTTCATATGTGTCACAAGAATCCTTCAGCTTTTTTATTGAAGAGCAGGGTATGTTTAGCCTGCAGAAGAGAAGGCTGAGAGGAGACATAATAGCCATATATAAATATGTGAAAGGATGTCATAAGGAAGAGACTTGTTTTCTGCTGTCCTAGAAACTAGAACTCGGAACAATGGATTCAAATTAGAGGAAAGGCGATTCCACCTGAACATTAGAAAGAACTTCTTGACCATACAAGCTGTGAAATTCTCTGCGTCTGAGTGTGTTGAGAAATCCTTCTTTGGAGGCTTTTGACCAGGGGCTGGATGTCAGGGGTACTTTGTGCTTTTCCTTCATTGCAGGGGGTTGAACTAGATAGTCTCTTCCAACTCAATGATTCTATGATTCTATAATGATTGTTGCTGCATACAGATGGGTGTGCAAATCCAGATGTACACCAGCATATGTTCTTTTGCACATAAAGTTACATTTTTAAGGCCAATCATTCAATTTTCGTTCTAGAGGAAGTGTGAGAATTTAAAACAGATAGTTATAGATATCTTTTGTAATATTTTCAGTGGGTGGTTTTACTGTATAAAACAATTATGCTTTGCTCTCAAGACACATAGAACACTAAGAATTTTGTCAGGGCCTCATTTTTTTAACAAATCCAAGATCAGGGATTATGCCAAGAATTGATGCAATTGATGTGTCTCTGTAGAAGGATCTTGTGCACAACAAGTACAGCAGTCAAGCTGTGTGTGTAGCCTGACAGCTAGAATCATTGGCTGCATTACACCATGTTAACAGCAGCTTGACAGATTGTGTTCCAAATTATCCAAAAGATCTTGGATACCCCCTTCCAACATGTTCAGGTTTCCTTCTGTCTGGCCTCTATGGCCCCTTTCACTCATAGAAGATTAGTAGATCACTGTTAGCGTGCTGGATCTGGGGGTAATGACCAACATTTATTTGTCCAGTAGAGTTAAATCACCTTGTTACAATGACACAATTTATTGGATTATAATCTTGCAATGTACTCACCACCAGTTGTTCCTGCAATTGCTTGCCAGACCATCGGTTTTAAATCACTCCTATGACATTTGCCTGCCAAGTTGATTCTGGGCCTCTGAACTTTTCAGTCAGTGTTTTGGCTAATAAACTCGAGTTTATTTTCCAAAGAAATGCAACAATCCCACAATAAGTAGGCCATCATCTGTATCCTTCTGAACTTTTCTTGGCAATTCCAATGATTTTTTTCAAGCTGTATATTTCCAGTTTTCAAATTAAACCAATCACATTTTAGGACCACTCATATGTAGGGCAAAAGTCTGAGCCAATCTGTAAAGGCTAATTCTCATGGCCAATATTCATCGATGTTTCTGTAATGTAAGCAGCTGTGGACAGTAAATGTGCCTGGCATCAAGATAGGAAACTATTTATTCTTTCCCACTTATAAGTATGTATCAGATTTTGAATGATACAGTGGAACATGTATAGCTTTTTTAAAAAAGAAGAAATGAATGCTATAAATATTATTTGGATTAGCATCCACCTAGCATAATCTGGTATCTTTAGCAGTGGCCTCCAGTACTTGCATTTCACATAAAAGATCTCAGTCAATCTTCAGCTCCTCCAGATAAAAGTGTAGGATATCATAGTAAAAACATTTTCTGGTGCGTGAATCTCTGTTAACACAATCCTTCACATCAGAGATAAATACATCTTGGAGGCAAGAGGGATGCGTTGCTCTCCAAAAACCCATGGGGGCTCCAGCCCACTCTACTGCCCCCAGCTCTGAAGAACGTAGCTCAGAAAACAATGGTCCACTTCACTCCGTGGGGAATATGTGAAGAGCGGGAAGATTTTGTTGGGCAAGTGGGCTTATTAACTAAAGACCCTCCTCATAACTCATAGTAACTTAGTAGCAGCAACAGCGTGACCCAGCACCACTAGCCCAAAGTGATAAAAAGAACAAAAACACGTAGATCAATGCTGTTTTACCCTATGTTGGAAACCGCCCTGAGTCCTCTTGAGGAGATAGGGCAGTATATAAATAATGGTAGGTTACATACCTGTGACCATCTTTCTTCGAGTGGTGCTCTGCGAATTCACACTTGTG